GAGGCGGGTCCGCCTTGCCTCTTCTGGCTCCTGGTGGTGCCAGCCTCTCGGACTGGCCGCTATACCATTCCAGACTCTGCCTCCGTCACCACCCGACCACTTCTTGGTCTGTGTCTCGTCCTCTCTGTGAGGAAAGTACTCAGGATGTGGGCCCACTTGCTCCGGTGTGACCGCTTGTGACCTGAGCCAACGGCATCCTATTGAGACCCCACGGTTACATTCATAGGAACCAGGGGCCAGGAGGTGGACGTATCTTTTGGAGGGGAGAACACGATTCAACCCTAAACACTTGTTATCCCCATATCCATTTTGAGATTGATTTGTTGAGCTTGTTCCAAGAAGCACCACCTCTTTGGACACTCAGGGCTTCTCCGTGTCTTTCAATTGAGCGACAGCATCGGTTATGGACCCGACAGCCTTCCCAAACTCGCAGCTGTTTACAAGCCCCGCTGCCGTGCCAGGTGACACCAAGCCTGACTGGTGATAGTCGTGCAGTGTGGAGTTTGACAAGTGGGGCAAAGGAATCCCTGGGGTGCACACAGTTGGTGCATTCAGCTGCTCCAAGGTCGGACGTTCAAGCCCACTTGGAGGACCCTCTGGAGAGAGGCCTATCAACTGATGCCCAAAAACCAGCCATTGAAAGCCCCAGCGACCAGTTCCACCCTGACACGTGTGGGGTCAAGTGATTGGCCGGCCAACTGAAAGCTTGAGAAAGCAACACAGTCCCCAGAGGGGGACAGAGACAGGGCATTTCCAAGTGCTTCCTCTGGCCGGTACACGAGGGACAAGTGTGGCGGTCAAGGTTGCGCCGTAATCATGGTGTCATGAAGTGGTGCAATGTCACCATCTCCACCTGCGGTGAGCCTGCATCCAGGACCTGTGGGCCTCTGGCACAGCTCTCTGGACCTGCACGAACTGAACGTGGGAGGTATTGTGCTGAGTGAAGTGCACCAATCCCATCCAGGCCAATAGCGTACGAAGCCGTGAGCATGAAAGGCCAAAAACAAAATCAAGAAAGGTAGTTTTCACAGCAAAAGAAGCAGACCTTTATGGTGATAGGGAGAGCTGGGGTGAACGCAGAGGGAGAAGGGGGAAGGGAGAAAGAGAAACAGCGACACCCTGGGAAATCCTAAGGAGCCGACAGACGCCGTGAGTCGGGTCCAACTGGATGAGAGATGGATGGTAGATATTAGTAATAGCAAGACTGATCTAACTGATTGATTTCTGAATCAACAGGAACAAACAAACGGAGAAACCTCTCCTCTGGCTTTCTGTTTGCCCCGGGGCCTGTGCGCGATCTTCCCTCTGTGGGGCTTGAGCCTGCAGCCTGCCAGGTTACCGGAGGATCTTGGGATGCATTAGCCTCCAATGCCCACGAGTCTGTCTGACCTGCCCATCTCCGGCTGGTCGGCCTGACACCGGACCCACAGGCCCGGGACCTGCCAGCCTAGTCTGTCTGGACTGGTGCACGGACAGCTTTCATTAGTCTTGCTTCTCCAGCTGGATCGGGGCTTCTTTCAGGGCCACGTCAGGAACCTGCCTGCAGCAGCCATTGTGTGCGCCACCCTCCCCCTCTTGGTCTGCTGACTTGGTTGGGTCTCTGTAACGTCATCAAACGCTGACAGGACCTCTCTCTCCCTTTCCGGCCGGACTTCTCCGTTTTGAGCTCTTGCCTTAGCGCTCCGGCTGGGATCTCCAGTGGTCATGTTAAATGCTCGGGAGCCAAACTGAGATCTCCACTTTACGGCAGAGGAAACCAAGACTGTGTGAGCGGGCGGACTCCCCCAAGGTCACCACAGGAGGAGCGTGGGGGACACGCCCACCACCCGTCCCCGAGCACCCTCCACAGGATCCCTCTGCCTGGTGGACACTCCTTCCCCGGGCTCTCTCCCAATGGAAGCGTCCACGGAAGATCCATTACATGACTCACCCACATCACTGCCAATTCCAAGCTGAATTTTGCCATCCAGGCCCGGTGCTCACCACGCTGGGGGGAAGGGAAGGGCGGTGTGGAGAATCCTCCGGTTTGGCTCCTCGGCTCAGGGGAAATGAGACTCCCACTTGGAAAGACTGAGGCCATGCCTCAGCCGAGGCCACTGAGCGTGACCCGCCCTGCGGTCCCAAGAACACATTCTTGGGGGCCCCAATCCCGACCTCAGCCGGAGGGCAGGCAGCCTATTTCTCATGAGGGCTGGAGGGCACTGAGCTGGCACAGGATGGCGGCTGGCCGGCCCTCCTGGGGCCACCAGGCTGGCTCCACTTGGTGTCCTGGGGCTGATCCAGGTCCCTGCCTGGGCAGGCTGGCAGAGAGGAGGGGACGGGGACTGCCCGGCCCTGGCCACTGTGCTCGGAGCTCTGAGAGGCAGCTGAGACCTGGATGGGCATCTCAGCTCTCCTGGGCTCCCCAGTCCTCTTGTGGTCCCCCGCTCAGTCAGCATCACTTCGTCCTAGGGCCAGCACAGCGACCAGACCCCCACCCTCTGGGGCCCCGCTTCCCTTCCACTCATGACATGTCTCGGAGGCTGGGGGCAGTGCTCTCTGATGCCAGCACCGCCCTTCCTCAGTGTAAACCCCCACCGCCCAGCCCCTAGGTCATGACACTGCTTCACCTGCCTCGGTCTGCCTGGCCCCTTCCCACAGTACCTCCCCAGATGCAATGGTTAGGCCCCTGCCCCTCTGCCCTTCCCTCCGCTCCCAGCAGAGGGGAGGGCAGAGCCCTGCAGACACCCCCTCCCCCCGAAGCCTCAGCCCATTCTCCGGGTCCTTCTCTCTCCCAGCTCACTCACCGCCCTCCACCCCCCAGGGCCTCTGCAGTGGGTTTTCCACTGTAGAGCTTGGACTCCAGGAGGGGGGGCTGCTGAGGGGGGAGAGAGCCCCCATGAAGCTGATGCTGCAGGGTCTACCACGCTACCCCGTTTCACACGGAGACACTGAGGTGGTGCCAGGCAGCGGAGCCCACAGATCAAGCCCAGAGCCTGCCAGGTCCCGGGGCACCCCTTCCCCACCCTCCACCAGCCCTTGATGCTACTCACATCACGCCACTGCACTGGGGCTTCCAGGGGTGTGCTCACTGTGCCCCCCCACCCTGTCAGCCTGCCCTCCCTGCCACTGCCCAGGTCCACCCTAGCTGAGAGGAGCAGCCTGTACCTCCCGGCCCCCTATCTTCCCTCTGGGCAGGGGTACTCGGGGGGTCAGCAGGGCTGACCTCCCCACCCCCGGTACCTCCCACCTCCACCCCCCTCTGGGAAATGGAAGAGCATCTAGGGTAGGGGTGGGGAGCAGATGGGAGGGGTCACGCCAAGAGGGCTGGGTCAGCCACAAGAATGACCCCTCTACATGGGCTGAACTCAAGGTTGAGGTTTCGCTTGAAGGATGGGGGTGAAGAAAGGGACAGGTGACAGGTTGGGAGGAGCCTCCAGGCCAGGGTGTGGCCAGATACTGCAGCTGCAGGGAGCAGGCTCTCCCAGTCCGGGATCCTTCCCAGCCGAACGGGGGTCAGGCCGAGTCCCATTGCTGGCTCCCCTGCCCCGTAGACCCAGGCAGGAGTCGATATGGGTGCCGGCCTCGGGGCCACCCCAGGCCAGTGGGTTCTGCAGGAAAATTGGTCCCAGCAGCAGCCACACTTGGTAGAACGGGCTTAGATGGGCAGTGAGCTTGAGGGGCACCCAGGGCCCGGAGCTCCCAGTCAGCCGGCTGCTTCCCTGGGTGAAGCCTGTCAGCTGCACCCTCATTGAGGCCGAGGGCAAAGGGGGGGTTCTCAGTCACTCCCTGCCGTAGGCGGCATTTCAGCCAATGGACGTGTCAACCAGAGGTGGGGAGCGTGGCTCAGACAGTCCCTGCCATCCAACGGCAGGGACCAAGGAGCTGCAGCATTCTTGCCGTACCCAAACGGGGAGGGAGGAGCCAGGAAACCCACAGAGAACACTGCTGCCAACAGCAAACAGTGGGACCGTCTAGCAGATCCCCCCACACCGCCCCCGCCAGGACTCCCCATGGCAATGCATTTGCCTGTCCTGCATGGTCCTGTTTCTGACACTTCCCGCCGTGGCAGTGGGGCTGGTGCTGCCACCTCCTCCAACATGGTGGGTCCCACGTGCAAGGAGGCCGGTCGGCAGCGGAGTGCATCAACACACGGGTCACCTATTTTCACACCAAGACTGCATGGGTCACACCATGTGAAATGTGTGTGTGTGCTGGTTAAGCGGCCACGTTCCCTGGGGAAACATGTTTAGTCAAGCACCTCAGTATCCAATGGGTCCCCAGAAACCTAAAACGCTGGTGTGCTGTGCTAGCCGGATGCAGGGGTGTGTGTGTGTCTGGGCTGGGCCCTCTGCCCATCTGTCTGCCCACTGGGGGGCACAGCAGGGTCCCTGGTCCCGGAGTCGCTGAGGCAGACTCTTAAGCTTGCCGGCTCTTTCTGGGACTTTTATTTCTTTAAAATAATTCATACAAATGGTTACAGTCACAAACATGATTTTAACCAAAATATTGCTAGCCTACCACATCAGCAGGACGGCCTCGGCCAGGCGCGCGGGAGCGCAGCCGGCGGGTCGGCGTGGCCGGCCGGCACTGGCGCGCAGTGGGCGGTGGGGAAGCGGCCCCTTCCTCAGAGATGCTTCCTGTAGAATTGGAATCGGGCGGGTGGGGAGCAGAGGCGGGGGCGGGAGGGGGGCTCATGCCAAAATGGGGGGTAGGGGCTGGGGTACAGCCTTTCTTTAGTTTTTCTAAATTATTCTAAAAATAAGACAAGCAGGTAGAAAAAACAATGCACTGTGTGGCGTGGAAAGAAATCGGGAAGTATTCATTGTCCTGAGAAGTTTGCCGACTGCCTTGCTCCGGGCCCGCTGCACACAGAAAAGTAGGCTCGGGGCCTCGCTGCCGCCCCCCACCCGGCCCCCCCGCCCACCCGCCTGCCGGGGGCTCCGTGGTGTGGACACGTAAAGCAAACACACCCTTCTCAATGTTCTAGAGACTGTACACAGACACGTACATTCGTGAGATAATGAGCTACTGACTTCTCTTGCTTAACCAAGGACGCACGCAGGACACAGACAGAGAGCCAGTCCGGGGACGGGACGACTACGTGGGACGAGGAGGAGGCCCTGGCGCCACCGCCCGCTGCTCCTGCCCTCCTGCCGGGCCAGTCTCGCGCCGGGGCCTCCGCAGGCTGCTGGCTGCACCTCTGCCCATGCCGGCCCAGGGCTGCACAGCCCTCCACCGGGCGGGGGCCAGCTCTGCTCGGGCTACAACTGGTCGCCAGTATGGTCTCTATCCGCCTCTGGCTTGACGGTTTGGCCAGGAGAAGGGGCGTGGGGTGGGTGGGCCACAGGGGGCAGGCCGTGGGACAGGGACATGGCGCTGGGGACGATGCCTTCGACAGCGGCAGGCATGCCAGTGGGAGCTACGCTCACCACGCCCGGGGGGTACCTGCTAGGAGAGAGGAGGAGACACAGGTGAGGCCCTTCTCTGGGGCCACGGTGGGGACACTGGGTGGGAACGGTCTTGGAGTCGGATAGGGTCCTGCTCGGCTACTTGGTACAGAGGGCTTGGGCTTGGTGGCGGGGGGCTGGTGAGTTGGTGGCTGAGCTGGGGGACACAGGGCCCTGCTCACAGTCTCCAGGTAATACTGAGCAACCTGCACCTGCGGAAACTAGAGGGAGCAGAGTCCAAAGGACCCCCGCCCCCACTGCCTGACCTCTTGTCTCCCATAGGCCCTCAGCAGGTGGAGGTGGGGACTGTGTCACGCTGGCTCAGCCTTCTTCGCCCCAGTCACACCCTCCCCTCTAGCTCGGCCAGGCCTCCATGGGGGCTGCTGCACCCCGCAGGCTGCCCCCACCCTGCCCCCACCCTGCCTGCTCCCTTCCACAGGCCCTCCGTTCCTGCAGGAGGCCAGGCAGCAGGGCCCCATGGAGAAAGTGGCAGCGCCCTAGGGCGCCCTGGGGTCGCACAGCATCGAGGACTCCGGCCAGGGCTCCTGCCCAGACCCTCCTGCAGCCAGGGAACAGCCGTGCACCGGGCCGGGGCGCCTACCACCACCCCAGCAGTCGAGTGCAGGCCCTCAGAGGCCGGGGGTCCCCACGGGGCAGGCGTGCTCCGCTCCTCACCTGTAGGCCGCCCCGTTGAGCTCAGGGTGCACCACGGCAGGGTCCATGCTGGCCCAGTGGGTGGCGGCCGTCAGGTGGTCTTTGTTCACACAGTTCTTCAGGCTGTCAGGGATCCGGCCTGGAGGGCAGCACGGGGGGCGCAGCAGTTACCAGGGCCCTGGGGCCTGCTCCCAGCTCTGCGTCCCTCACCAGGGCCATCACAGAGCTCCCAGGACAAGGTCACTCCCAAGGCTGCCCTGCACACCTGTGGAAGCCCTCCAGCCCTCCCAGGGCCCACCTGAGATGCCCTCCACACCTCCCCCCTGACCTGTGACGGCCCTCTACTTCTCCCTGACCCCTGACTTGCGATGGGCCCCCAAACCTCCCCCTGCACCCCTGACCTGTGATGGTGTCCCCACACCTCCCCTGACCCCTGACCTGTGATGGTGTCCCCACACCTCCCCCTGAACTCCTGACCTGTGATAGCCCTCTACATCGCCCCCTGACCCTTGACCGGTGATGGCTCCCCACACCTCCCCTGACCCCTGACCTGTGATGGCTCCCCACACCTCCCCTGACCCCTGAC